AAAATTTTAATCTACCCTGCTCTCAAGCCAAACAAATTGTTAAGGAATGTCCTGATTGTCAAGCCTTACACAAGGGCCTGCCCTCTATTGGGACCAACCCGAGGGGCCTCAAACCACAGGCTATTTGGCAAACTGATGTTACTCATTACCCTTCTTTTGGAAGGCTTAAGTTTATCCATGTTTCTACTGATACTTTTTCAGGGGCTTTACATGCCTCCACTCTCACAGGAGAGTTAGCCAAGAATGTGCAGGCCCATTGGCTTGAGGCCTTTGGTCAATTAGGCCGCCCCCAACAAATTAAGACTGATAATGGCCCCGGTTACACAGCATGGTCGACTCAAGAGGTTTTACACAAATGGGAAATTCAGCACAGGGCAGGAATTCCTTATAACCCTACTAGTCAAGCAATTGTAAAGCAAGCTCAACATACCTTTAAGTATCTCCTTAAACAAAAAAGGGGGAGTCAAGAGTCCTCACCTAAAATTTTGCTGATGATAGCCATGTATACCTAAAATTTTCTTAATTGTGACAACTCACTTACTACTCCAATGGAGAAACATTTCCACCAGAGTAAACCCAGTGAGGGGCCCCGCCCCTTGGTATTGTATGGGGACCCCCTAGGAAACGGAAACTGGGAGGGGCTTGTAGAACTGCTAACCTGGGAGAGAGGGTATGCATGTGTTTCAATCCCAAGAGGACTATTGTGGCTACCTGCGAAAAGAGTGAAGCCCTACTATGGACCTCCTATCTGTACCAGTCTGGATAAACCAGGTGGAAACACCACATCTAATCAGCTGTGATATGGCTAGGAGAATGCCAGAATGCCCTTGTCACCTGCCAGCAGTTCACCTGTGATCCCGGCTTCTCCAAGGTGTGCATGACCCCAGTGCAATGGAATTCTAGTCAACACTCTCTGGTGGAAGTGCAACATCGCCTTAGAGGGGCCTTCTCATCCAATCTGAAGGGCCAAATTGACTAGCTCCAGCTTGAGCCACATCAACAACTCCAGGATATTAAGAGACTTACTAAGCAGGAAGTTTTCCAAACCATAATAATTTGCAATGGCTCAATCTTAAGACTTGGTTTGAGGGTCTAAACCTCCATGTATTGGTCATGGGCACTGCAGAATGCTTATTCGTCATTATTGTTTTCTGCTTTGTGATGCACTTACAAGTTGTTCCACAGAGAGAGAGTGTGAGGGAAAAACAAGTAGCCAGTTTTGTCGGACTCACCTCCATGTCCACTCTAACAAACAAAAAAGGGGGAGATTTAGGGGGCTGCTTTGAGTGGTATCAGGAACTGTAGCCCTGTGCAAGCTGAGGCCTGAGAAAGGACCTATAAGTCTTGGCTGGAACACCAGTAATGCTGGAGGCAGGCAAGACCTGATGATGATTCCAAGGCCCCCGGGGGGAAATCAGACTTAGAAGTAAATTACACTCCTTGAAGCATGCTTCTTTTCTCCCTCAAACTCCGTTAATCTTATACCAGATAAGGAGCTCAAGGCTGGGAAAGAAATTTGCAAGACTCCTGGACCCTGACCCAAATCTCACCTGGCACTATAATGTTTGCTCAACTCTGACCTGAAGCGGTTCTGTGTGTTCCTGCAATTGTCACCTTTAAACAACACCTATTCTCTGTAAGCTTAAACTACTGATATAATTAGATTACCTATATATTTCTGCTACCTATCCCCAACCTGTAACCCTCTCAATAAAAACCACTGAGCATAGGCACTCGGGGTATTCTCCTTTAGAGAGAATCGCCTTCCCCTTCCCTTAACAGGCAAACGGTGTCGGAATGACTCATTCTTTCTTCTGCGACGAATCGGAGGACCCCGCGGGATCGAGTCCCTCATACTGCACCGTTGGTGGGAATGCAGATTGGTGCAGCCACTGTCAAAAGCAGAATAGAGATACCTCAAAAGATTAAAAATGGATCTGCCTTTTGACTGACTATTCCCACTTCTGGGAATATGTCTGAAAGAACCCAAAACACTAATTTGAGGGAACGTAAGCACCCCTATGTTCATCGTAGCCTTGTTTACAATTGCCAAGATATGGAAGCATCCCATGTGTCCATCAGATGAGTGGATAAAACAGCTATGGGACATTTACACAATGGAATACTACTCAGCTGTAAAAAAGAAAATATTACCCTTTGCCACAGTGTGGGTGGACCTGAAGAACATTATGCTAAGTGAAATAAGCCAGTCAGAGAAAGACAAATACCATATGATTTCACTTATATGTGGAATCTAATGAACAAACTGAATTAACAATGAAAATGGGGACAGACTCATAGATCGAAAGCAGGATGACATCAGATGGGGAGAGGTTAGGGGATGAAAGAATTGAGCAAAAAGAAATCACATGGACAACAATGTAGTGATTGCTGGGGGGAGGGAGTATAAAGGGACTAGATGGTAATAGGAAAAAATACAATAAAGATTAAATTAAAAAAAAACTCACAAACATAAAACAAGGTGTTTTGTGCTAAATAATGTGTGAGCTGCACAGCTGGTAAGCGTGGCTCTGGGCCTCTATGTTGGTCCAGTTTATCCTGGACCCCACTTGATTTGCTGTATCATGCGAGAACTTGTTCTCAACAAAATAAAAAAAATGTGACCTCTGATGCCATTTGGCTGAATGATTGCTGAAACTGGACAAATAAAATATTTTCCTTTATTATATGTTAGCAGAGTTTTGCTTGTTTTCAAAATTTTCATTCTCTAAGCTGAGCGTCAGAGCTGAAGCTAATAAAAACCTGTGTAGGAAAGGATTTTGTGTGTTTACATGTGGAATCTGAAATGCCTTTTTTTTTTCCAGAAGTGATTCACAAATGCACCATTTTCTCTGGGGCACAGTTGCTGATAATCCTCCTGAGCTGCTGGTTTGCTAAATGACTTTGTGTGCACCTTTAGGGCCAGTCACTGGGTGGCTGCTCAGGCACCTGAAAACAGATGAGGCGCCACTGTTTGAGGTCTCTCTGTAGTCTGATTTGGGGCTCTGGGAGGCCTTCGTGTGGACCATGTGGATCTGTGTGTGTCTCTCTGTGCTGAGATCTCTGATCTCTGAGAGAGGTCTCTATATAAGGTTCCTGTGAAGGTATTGGGGGTCTCTCTGTGTGACATCTCTCAGTGTGGGTCTCTGTGGAGATCTCTGTGTGTCCTCTCTGTTGGGGTCTCTGTATAAGGTCTCTATGTGGGTCTTTTTGTTGTTCTCTTTCAGAAGTCTCTGTCACAGGTTTCTGTGTAAGGTTTTTCTGTGGGGGTCTCTCTGTGTGAGGGGTCTCAGTGGGGATCTCTGTGCATCCTCTGTCACAGGTCCCTGTGAGCACTTTGTGTGTCATCTCTGTGCAGGGCTCTCAGTGTGGGGCTCTCCGTGGCTGGCACTACTGCACCTTATGGCAGGAAATGAGCAAAGGGACTTGTTCTTTCTTGTTTCTTCCTATTCCATCAGCATCCCCATCTGTCTGTTGCACTTCTCCTGACAGGAGCATGGGGCCCAGTCAGTTCGCCCCACTCCCGGAACTCACCTCATCAACCCCTAGGAGGACCCAGCAGCAGCCAGGCTCAGGGTTGCCACCCTGTGCCACACCCTCCTGAGCTCCTGCAGGCCCAGGGCACTCTCTGCCCTGGTTCCCACCCCTCCCACAGGTCCTGTGGTGCACAAGGAGTGCACTGTCACTGCTGTACCCACCTTGGAGGCAGCTCTGTATGGGACCCAAAGGCAGGACCTGGCTCCAGGGAGAACCTGCAGCATGAGGAGGCCTGTGTCCACGTTGCTCCCCACCCCACTTTTGGTCCCCCCGGGCCACGCATGAAAGTAAAAGTCACCAGCTGCATCCAGAGGTCCCCCAGTCTTATGGATGCTGACAAAATATATTGTGGAGAGATCAACCTCCCCTGCCTGAGGGCTCTGCTACCTCTGTGAGCCGGGCCTTCTGAGTAGCTACTACAAGTGGCTCCTCTCATCTTGGCTCTAACAGCTGGAAGAGGGTAGACACCCTGATCCACCAGACCCCTAACTTTACCCCTCTGGGCCTGTAATGGTGGTGGGACACCAGGGGTTCCTCAGTCACTACAGAATTTATGGGCATGCTGTGTCATTGTGCCTCCTTCCCCTGCATCTCATCCTGGGAGCACAGAGTCCCATTGTCACATGGTGACTGCACATATGGTCACATCCAACTTCCTTATGCAGGAAGGGGTCTGTGAGTGCCCTTGAGCAAACCGTTCTGTCCCTTCAGGCAGACAAGTGTGGGCCCCTTAGCAAACTCTGTGCCCCCCACTTGCACACTCTCAGAGCTGGGAGTGCTGTCCTAGTCCACGCTGCTGCTCCTGAGAATGAGAAAAGGAGAGGGACAGGACACTGAGCACTGAGCTTACAGGGGTTGGCTGGTCCACGTCCATCGCAGCTTCATGAGGGAGAGAAGGGCTCTCAGGACAGACGTCACCTATTCCCACCAAGAGATCCAGGGCAAGATCTCTCCCACCTCTGGACTCAGGGCCAGCACTGCTGCCAAGGTCCCCTCCCCACTCTGTGACACTTTCCTATGAACTGAGGGATTCAGCCTCTGCAAACCCCTCCTCTACAGCTCATAAGTTCAAGGTAGAGAGAAAGCAGGGGAGAGTGGGGTGAGGCAGATCTTACAGTTTTGCTCATCTTGAAATCTCCTGAATGCTTTTGTTTGTCTATATAATTATGAATTGTGGAAAAAGGTACACTGAGGAAATAGGGGTGAAGGTAGGTGTGCCTCACTGTGGTAAACCCCCCTCATGACACTGTTCCTTCTCGAAGCCAAAGAAGACTCTTGGCACAGCAAACCCCGATCCTTTCTCTTCCACCTGCAGGACACAGACAGAGGCCACCAGCTCTCACAAGAAAAAATTGTGTATTTTGTGAAACACTAAAATTTGTAATAGGAAGAATCCTGGGGACAATGGTTCCCTGAATGGGAAGGCCCACTTGCTGTCCCTGTCTCTGGTTTACCCGCTCTTATTAGAGCAGTTGTGGGCATTGGGGGTGGCTTGGTGACTGTAGGCCATATGTTTCCTCACTCTTCTCTGCTTTGAAGAGGAGAGAAACTTGTGGTAACAGGAACCACCACCTATTGAGACCTGGGATTGTTTTTTGTGTTGATTTAACTCCTTAGCATGAAGTCCTTGATGAAGTCCTAATTTCTCCACCAGGATTTGTCCAACTGCTCTCACGATCACCTGGGCTTCAACAGGTGCATTGTCCATAACTGATCTGCTTTTGACTGGTTCCTGGCTCTGGGCAACGGTTGAGACAGGTTTGCCTTCTTGGAGAGGTTCTTGTCCTTTGCCCTTTTTATTGGGGTTAAGATACTGTGGAGAGTGCCTTACCTTTTTTCTGAAGTGGCTTTCTGGAAAAACCTGTCGTTTCTCTGGCAGGAGTTGGAGGTATTTGCTCCCAAGAGTACCTCCTATTTCCCTGACCTGGGGAGGGTTTTTTATCCCACTGGTCTGTGAGGTTCTCAGTTCTGCCAACCCTTCACTGTGCTCTCCTGGGTTGGGTCTCCTATCATTTTCCCTCCTATCAGTGGGGACAAACATTTTACTTTGACTTAGAAATGGGTCCTTAAGTTTTGGCATCCTGGGCTCTTGCTGCCCCTCGCCGCTCTGTCCACTCAATATGAGGTCATATGGCACCTGGGCAGCTGGCATGTCCCCACTGGTATTTTCCCTCTGTGACCTGTGAGAAGCTGCAATGTCTGCAGCAAGGAGTACATCATTGTGAGGGTCTTGGAGGAGCACACTGGTGGCACAATCTTGGAGGCACATGTTGGTTGCATTCTCTTGAAGGATGACATCAGTGTGACAGTCTTGAAGAAGCAAGCTGGTGGCAAGGGTTTGAAGCTGGTTCTCTGACTCTACCTTTCCCTGGAGCTCAAACTTACTAGCAATGTCTTTTTTAAGGTTTGGCTCTTCTAGATCTTGGGCAACTGACTTTGTAGGTGAAGAACTTTCATCAGGCACTAGAGACTCTGATTTCCTCATACCCATATTAATGGTTTGGGAATTTGCCAGCATACTGGGTTCCACAATGACTTCCGAAGCAGGAGTCTCCTCATCCTCCACTGCATCCCTGGCCTCTTCATCCCTTGAAGATTGGGATCCTAAGTTCATCTCTAGTATTGCCCTTCTCCCTTCCCTTACCTCATTCCCAGCTACTGCTGAACTTGGATTTGGCTCCACACTTCTTTCTTCAATGCCTATGACAGCCCCCATTTGCCAGATTTTTCCCATGAGGCTGAGAGTGAGGGACTGAGGAGGTGGCCTACCCTCCTGTCTACTCTGAAGGGCCTCTGACAGCCCATAGCCATAACCAGAAGGTGTCCCTTCCATGGTCTTCTGGATTTCCTCAGACATAGGTGATGTGATGGAAAGGGGACCTGCTGGGGTAAACAATGGCTTTTTTGTTATCATTTTTTCTCCTAAAAAGGGATGAGGGGATTTTCCCAAGACTGTGGTGTACTTGTGTTTTGAGTGGACCCCAAATACACAGACAGCTGAAGTGGAGGAGCAGGCTTGTGGAAGGGTCAAATATTGTGTCTCATGAAGTATGAGATTTATGGCCTCAAAGGCCTGGAGGGACGGGCCCAACCTATGTCTTACCTGAAACCTTATCATATGTGCTTCCAGTACCTGTCGAGTGAGTGGACTGAGGAAGGGAAGCTCACAGGAGGTGTTTAGGTAATGTTCCTGACCCTTTAAGGATGCTTGATTTCTGGCTTCCGTGTGAGTGTGGCACTTGGGAAAAACATGGCTGGCAGCAAGCCAGGATCTACCCACACTCACAGGGATCAAACCTTTGTTGATCTGTTCTAACTTCCTGTCCAAATGGGCTTTTAAGATTTTTTCTACATGTTTGTTTTCTGGGCCTGTGTATAAGCAAGTTCCTAAATCACTCTTTGATGGCTTCAAGTTCCTTTCTGATTTCTTCTTAGAATTTATTTTCAGAGCCTTCACTGTGAAGGTGTTTGAGCCTCTGGAGAGAACTTTTGGGATCCTCATCATATATTGCTGTAGAGCCCTGCGAAAGTCCTTCCCTAGTTGGTCCTTCCTATGGGATCTTCTGTGGTACCTGGACTCCATCTTCTGTGAGTCCTGCAAAGGCCCCTGCTTGTCCTGTGCCTGACACACCCCTGGGAATTGGCTCTGAGCCTGCATCATTTCCAGAGACACTTGGACGCTGAAGTGCAGGCCACCCTGTTGTTTTTTTGTGATGAGCCTCTTTTGAAGATGTTGCTTCTGGAGATTTTTGCTGATAAAGTTCCTGTGAAGAATGGAAACTCTCCTGTGACTACGGGAGGTCCTACTATCCTGGGAAAGTTTGGGAGTAGGTTGGCTAAAGATTTCCTGAGATCTTTTGGTCACAGAGAGTAAATCCCTCTCCCTTTTCAATTCCAGATTTTGAACATCAGGTGGGATGAAATATTGTACCTTATTCTGAGCTGAAGGGCAAGATACCCCAGAGGTGCTCATCTGGGGCAGAGAAGGTGGTTGGATTGGGACGGAGGGTAGGAGATGGGCCTGGGACTGAATTTGAGCCAGAGGTAGGGGCTGGGACTGGGGCAAGTTGCCAGTCAAAGGTTGTGGTTGGGCCTCAGGGAGGGGCAAAAGTAAAGCCTGTGAAAGCCCTGAAGATGTTCTAGGCTGAATTGGAGCTGAGCAGTGGTTACATATGCCATTGAATAAAACTGAAAGAGGCTGTGGGTAAGAAGAGCCCCTAGCAACCCAGGTAGCCACCAGGGACTCGCTGTGCAGGGAAGGGAGACCCCAGAAGAGCTGGCTGCATTTTTGCTGTAGATGGTGCCCCAAGAGCTGGCGATGTGAGAACTGCTGGGGACTGGGCATCTGCTCTTTTATGTCCTTCATGCTCCAGAAGGGTTGGGGGATTGCGGAGTCATGTTTGGCACCCAATGATGTCCACATATTCCCCAAAGACTTCAGGTGGTAGTCTGAGCCATTTTGTTTTGACAATGACACATCTTTTTCTCTCTCCTTCCATACCTTCAGTTCTGCTTTCTTGGTGATCACTATCTCCAGCATCTTATGGACATCAGGGTTGACGAATGAGGGGCTACCAGTCTCTATCTGCCTGTCCCTGGTGTTCCCCCAGAACAAGGCCTCAGGTGGGTGGTAGGATAGGTGCTCTTGCTGGGATTCACATTGTGATGACGTGGGGAAGAACAAGGCCTTGGTAGTCACCCACCACCAGGATAAGAACTTCATGGGATAGCTTGAGCAGCCAAGGGCTGAGATGGTTGTGATGGGAGATGCCAAAAAGGAGTTACCTTGAGGTGAGCTCTTTACAACAGTACCCAGAGGGATTCTCATCAAGTCAGGTGTGTCTTGATGTTCTGCTGATAGGCTGGAGGCCAGTGGCAGAGGATAGATGGTCAGGAGAGCTGGGGAAGCTGATGTGGGCATGGCAGGGCCAGCATTTTCCACAGGCACACAGCAAGGCTGGTTGGCTCCAGTGGCTGCTGCTTTGTACACCTTACCAGGAGGGTCTTGACAAGAATGCTGAGGAAAGCTGCCTTTGTCTGAGAGTCTCCCTAGGTGGCTGCAGGATATGAAGGCACCAGCTGCAGCCAGGAGCAGACAGGCAGGCAGGATGGGGTAGACACCCGTGGCTCAGGGCTCTCCATGGCCCCCACACTGACCTCCCCAGTGCTCTGCTGTCCCTCAACCCAGGACTGTAGCCACCCTCTGATTTCATGGCTCCCTGCCACCTATACCCAGGTCAGTCCAAGGTGGCCTGCAGCCCTGGGGTCACATCACAGTCTTGGAAGGGAGGAGTACCCAGGAGAAAGGGGGAAGATTCTTTACCTTTGCAGAAGAGAAATCAGGCGCCGCGCCTCTCCTATTTCTTGCAGGCACTCTCTGCAGGCTGGAAATCAGGAGATGGGGTCACATCGTGAAGCAGGGTCTTGAGGTCTCACAGGAGGCTGAGTGCAATGGCCCTCTAGGGGAGATGCCTGGGAGGTGGACTCTGGAGCCCAAGCATCAGGGTCAAGACCACGTGATCCCTGACAGTAATGGCAAGACTGGTGACGGGCAGCACTTTCTCATTTACAAAGTGCTTCCACATCCACTGTTCCCTGTGGCCCTCACAACTTCCCTGTGGGGGAGAAAGGAAAGGGGCACCTGACAGAGAAATCTGAGAGAAGGTAAACAATGTGCCCACAGTTGAACCTGGAGGCCCCCTTCCCAGTCAGGAACTGTTGGGCGAGGACAGCCCAAATGCCCCTGCTGGGACACCCTTGCTAGGGAAACACCCATTTCCGGGAGATTGAGCTCCATTCCATGCGGAATCTAAGAAGTAGCTGGGTTCTGACCTCCTTGCCAAGGGCTCCCTGAGAGCTCTGTTTCCTGAGAGACAGGCTGTGCAGCAGGCATCCTTGGGGAACAGGCCCTGGGCTCTCAGGGACAAGACAGATGGAGGCAAACTCTCAGGTGCAGGCCTGAGGGGCAGGAGCTCACCTTTCAAAGCTCCACTTTTCTTCCTGCTCCTCCACCTCGGCTCCACTGGGCGCTGAGAGATAAGACAAAAGGAGGGGCTGGGACCCCACTCTCACTCTCCTCTCTTAGACAAGCTGCAGACGTGCGGTGTTTGTGAACAATATGATTTTCTACATTTAACCAATGGGGCTCTCTGGTTCTTCCCTTTTTATTTTTGCAGTGGATAAAAATTGTTTCTGGCTTTTCCTCTTTGGAAAATGTAAAAAAAGATTTTCCACATGAGACTAACCATGGATTTCTTCTGTCACGGTTCCTCTGCTCAAGAAAGACACACTTTCTCAGACCTACAGGACCCTCTGAGCTCCCTCAGGTAGGACTCTGCTTTCCTGAGGCCACAGCCCCACCCCAGCCTCTGCTCAGAGGCTCTCAGGGTCTCCTCACTGCCCTGGATCAGCCTCAAAAGAGAAGAGGCTCACCTGAGACACCTGCCATGGGAAGGCGGATGGTGAACCAGGGCTCTGGGCTTCTCCCCACACAGGGATCCAGCTCTTAGTATCCACTCCTTGGCCACTGGCCACTGCACTTGGAGCTGTGCCCTGGAGCCTCCACCATACCTTGACTGCTGGTTGGAGATCTTTGGATGGAAATCCTCCTGTCTACTCTAACCCCTGCCCAGCTTGGCTTGTACCTGGAAGGATGATGTTCTTTTCTTCCCTGAGAATAGTTGTCCTATTCTTTCCCATCCCAGGAGTCTGTCTAGGTGATTCAGAAGAGTGGAAATAAGAATCGAAGACAGATCATCTCTTTTGGGCCAAGGGTTCCTTACCTTCCTGATGTTTCTGTGTTTCCTAGGTGGTGGTAAGGATAGATCACTCTCCAAGCAGGGGAGTAATAGGAGGAAAAGCAATAGTCCACATGAGATGGCGAAGAGGATATCAATCACCAAGGAAGGGCTGGAGCTCTGCCAGGTAACAAGAACACTTTTCAGAGAAAAGAGAGGGTTCTTCATCATCTGCATTGCCCTGCTGCCTTCAGGCAACTGAGCACCGGGTGGGGCTTGTGGATCAGAGGCCCAGGCCAGCATCATGGAGCTGTGGTCTGGTCACAAAGGACTGCTGCATGAGGGGAGGGGCAGGAGGGAGTAGGCTAGACTATACCTCCTCCCCCATCTCTAGCCCGACAGATCTCTCTACCCTTCTTGGAGCCTTCCAATACCACACTCATGCCCTGTTAGAGATATACCTTAGTTAACTTTCTAGTCAATCCACCTAGATCTCAGATAATACCCGGTTCCTTTGAGATCTCTATTTGAGTTCCATCAGTTTGTTAACTTTAAGAGATCTGGAATTGTTCCTGTTATTTTGGTTAACTCCCAGGGATTTTCACTCGCAGGATATCCTCTATATGCAACACCGTCTTTCTTACATATGTTTTTGCCTTCATCAACCCAGACATAGAATAATTGCCATGAGTGGGTAGCTGAGTTGGGTAGAACATCATACTGATATGTGGAGGTTGCAGGGTTGAAAAAATAAATAAGTAGAACAACAAATGTTTCTGATAGACAGACAAATATGTTTCTGTCTGTCTGTCTCTCTCTCTCTTCCCCCTCCAAAAATCAATTAAAAAATTTGAACTATGGAACAATCAACCCAAATAACTATCTTAAGACAAAGTGAACAAAAGTCTTGTAACTAAGGATTTACAGAGGAACCCACATTGATACCAGTAGGAATGGCAGAGATGTGAAAGGGCCTGGACCTGCACCCACAAGCAGTGGGTGAGAATCCAGAGAGATATTTTTTTCTGAAGAGGTTCCCCCCAGAGGAACAAGGGGTCTCAGCCAACAAGCCAGGCTTTCTAGCCCTGAGCACTAGAGCCAGGAAGAGGAGGTCACACAATATCTGGCTGTAGAAATCAGTAGGAATTCCACTCACCCTGGTGAAAAAAGGGGAGGTCTCTCTTGAATGGCCAGTGCAAAGGATCTCAGTCCCAGCACTAACCTTGTGCACTAGCAGAGGGATGGCAGCCCATGGTGGACCAGAGTCATAGTAAAAATAAATAAATAAATAAATAAATAAATAAATAAATAAATAAGAGTGGTGTAGTCTTGAGAGAGGGCTGGAGCAATAGCATCAAACATTCCTGTGCTTGGCCCCCTTTTCACTCCACCCACGGATGCCATTTTTCCTGGGTCAAACATCCCCATCCATACAACATCAGCTAAGGGAATGGCAATAGCCTCTCCTTGCCAATTCCCAGAGGCCCTGTTCTGCAGGGATTGCTCCAGTGAAGAGGTTTCTGGCAGAATCTAGCCTGAGCCCTCAGTGGAACTTTTTTATTAAGGATATCACAAGGAGGATTGGGCAGGCTTGAACAATGGCAGGATCACAGGGGAAGAGACTGAGCTATGGAGCTGGGGGCAGAAGGTCATTTTCTGTCATGTACCTGAGTAGTTATTTTGGGTTTTTTTTTTGTTTTTGTTTTGTTTTGTTTTGTTTGCAAAGCCCCTTTTACATGTGGCCAAATATTGGTTTGTTTTAGCCAGGTGAACTCTGCTGGCCTCATCTCGATGACTCCCTGAGACCCCCTCACACCAGGAAGGCCCATGGATCTCAGGAAAGTGGCAACTGGTTTTGGGGGTATCTTGACACTTTTTCTGAGCCACCTCAGACCCAGCATTGCCACTGAGTTTGAATCTGTATCAAGCTGGTGAACAACACTCATCATTGCCTGGTCAATCACTGAGAACCTCTCTCATGCTACCTGTGAACTGCCAGAGGCTCTTCCAATGACTGAGCCCAACAGAAAGCCAGCAGGCAGAAGCAGATCTTTGAGAGCCACAGGACTTTTGCTAACAGCACCTAGGCTGAGAGCTTGTAAGCAGGCTTTGGCATATAGCCTAGCCCCTCCCACTTACATCTAGGACCAGCAGTGGCAGCCACAAAGGGTAGATCACTCGGTACCTCCAGACAAGTAGACTAAGGGAGTTACAGGGAGCATCTGATATTGCCCTGCAACAAAGTCCCTCCTGAGGGGCCCTAGAACCAACACACCTGGTGGTGAGCTTTAGACCACACCAAAGCATGACTGAAGTAGCTCCACAAGCATCTCACCCAAAGGGAGATCCTGGCTGGCAGCCAATTCTGCATAATGGGGATCAACTCCAGCACAGTAGCTCCTACACTGTGGTCAGTGTCATTCTTCATAGTCAGCTAATCTGAGGGTCAACTCCAAACACAATTGAGCTAACAACAATCAAGCCTCAACTATAGGAGGGCTCACCTAACCAACACAAATAACACTTCTGGAGCACCTACCTTAGGTGATCAGGGAGAATGTGCCACTGAGTCTCCCTACTACATAAGGCCACCCTACCAGGGCTGGGAGACATAGCAGATCTACCTAATATACAGAAGTAAATAGAGAGAGAGAATCAAAATGGGGATGCCAAAATGCCCCAAATGAAAAAATGAGAAAATTCCTCAGAAAAAGGACTAAATGAAATGGAGGCAAGTGATCTTCCAGATGCAGAGTACAAAACAATGGTTAGGAGGATGTTCAAGAAACTTAGGGAAAAGAATAGATGAACTCAGTGACAACTTCAGCAAAGAGAGAGTAAGCACAAAAGAGGACATAAAAACCATAAAAAAAGAACCACTCAGAAATGAAGAATACAATAACTGAGATGAAGGATACATTAGAAGAAATTAACAGCAAATTCAATGAAGCAGAGGATCAAATCCACAATGTGAAAGGCAAGCTAGTAGAAAACACCCAATTAGAACAGAAAAAAAAAGAATTAAAAAAATGAGGATAGTATAAGGGAAATCTGGGACAACATAAAACATAACATTTTCATCATAGGTTACCAGAAGGAGAAGACAGAAAGTAAGACATTGAGAACCTATTTGAAGAAATAATGATTGCAAATTTCTCTAACTTTTTAAAAGAGAAAAATGTACAATACTGTAACAGGGAATAAAAACTTTATGCTACTCTGACTTACTATGAAATAGAAACAAAATAAAATGTACTAATAGTATGATAAAGAGAATTCACATACTGACAGTTTCTTTATCAGCATATTGCAGGCACCAGAAGTTCCAGTTCCTGCCTATATATAAGAAATGGCTTTGATCATGACTTCAGTTAATGCCGATTGCTTAACTGCAGGCTTTTGGCTGGCACTGACCAGTCCCATGATGCTGACATTAAAGACACATATCAGGACCAGCAAGGACACTGCCTGCACATCCATAGCCTATCTCCTAATCTCTTTGTTCTGCTTTCCCTCTCCCTCCTTATAAAAACTTCTGCCTGTACTGAGATGTTGAGATGGTCTTTGAGGTATGAGCCTACCATTTTCTCAGGTTTGTCAACTCCCTTTCCTTCTCAACCAGAATCTATCTCATGAGTTTGACTTTCGCTTTAGCTGGCACCCAAACTTTGGTTTTGGTTTCAATACTAGGAAGAACAGAGAATTCCAAAAAAGATGAATCCAAAAATACCCACACCAAGATACATCATAATTCAAATGGCAAAGGCAAGAGACAATGAGATGGCTTTAAAAGCAGCAGGAGAAAGACCTACAATAAAGTTCCCTTAAGTCTGTCAGTTGATTTCTCAACAAAACATTTCAGGCCAAAATGAATTGGCACAAAAATATTCAAAGTATATATGAAAGGCAAGGACCTACAATCAAGACTACATGGCAAGACCATCATTTAAAATTGAAAGAGGAATAAATAGCTTCTCAGACAAGAAAAAGCTAAAAGTTCATCACCATGAAACTAGTATTTTAAGAAATGTTAAAAGGACTTCTTTAAGAAGAAGAAAAAAGTAAAGGAACATAAGTATGTATAATAAAATGGCAATAAATACATACTTACCAATAATCATTTTAAATGAAAAGACACAGGGTAGCTGAATAGATGAGAAAAAAAGACCCATGTGTATGATGTCTGCAAGAGACCAACATCAGATTGAAAGACATACAGACTGAAAGTGTAGCTGAATAGATGAGAAAAAAAGACCCATGTGTATGATGTCTGCAAGAGACCAACATCAGATTGAAAGACATACAGACTGAAAGTAAAGGGATGGAAAAATATTTCATACAAATTGAAAAAAATATTGGGGTAGCAATACTCAGTCAAAATAGACTTTCAAACAAAGGATATAATAAGAGGCAAAGAAGGATATTACATAATGATAAAGGGACTAATCCAACAAGAGTATATATCCATTGTAAACATCGATGCAACCAACACAGAAGCATCTAATATACAGGGTAGGGAAAAAAGTAGATTTACAATTGTTTCTATGGAAAAAAATACAATAATCAATAAATAATAATACAAGGATAAGGATTTAGAAGATGGCAGCAAAGTAGGTGGGAGCTGAGTGTACTTGCTCCTGCACCCAACTGGGACACTTAGCTAATCTTCAGAAAAACAAAGGGAACAGTCAATAGAATCTTAGCAGATATGAAGTTTGGGAACCCGAGTGTTTAGAGGATGCTTCAAAACAGGTGGTAAGGAGGTTTTATAGGTGGACAGGGAAAGTCCCTGGGCATGGCACCAAAAACCGCAGCTGCCAGGGGAACAACATTTGAGAGGCTGGCCATGGATAATATCCTAGTGGCTCCCTCCCCTCCCAGAGAGGTGAATCCACAGACCCATGCCAGAAGCGATTTGAATGCAGAGTTGCTGGGGAGAAACAATCTGCAAACATACACACAGCTGGCAGCATACCCTAGCTGGGGTGGCGGCCGCCAGCCGAGACAGTGCCAGAGAGTGGGAGGGATTCTGGCTGCACCTGGAGCTGGGGGAAGAGGAGGGCCGTAACTGGCCATGACTGAGATGGACTCTTGATTTGCCAGAGAGCTGGAGTGTGTGGAAAGTCAGGCAGTGGCTTGAAACTGCAGTGGTCATGCCCAGAGACACTTTTGTCAAAAGGAAAACAGAGGCAGTCTGGACAGGGATCCCTGGGTACACAGCTTCCACAACG